CCTGGGCTCAGCTCAGCTCAGTCCCTGGGCTCAGCTCTGCTCAGTCCCTGGGCTCAGCTCAGCCCCTGGGCTCAGCTCTGCTCAGTCCCTGGGCTCAGCTCTGCTCAGTCCCTGGGCTCAGCTCAGTCCCTGGGCTCAGCTCTGTGGCTGCAGCTCTGGCCTGTCCCTGTCACGGATCAGTGTCACCAACACGGAGGGTGGGAGCAGCAGCCACAGCAATGCAGGGACTTTTGGAAAACACAGAGATGCAGCTTTTCAGTGCCTGAATCAGCAGCAAAGCCCCGTCTAAGCTGTCACATGCTGATCAGTCTGGCTGTGGCTCCCATGATCTGCAGAGTGAGGCTGTGACAGGAACTCAATGAAAACATGCAAGAAAAAAATGAAATGAAAGGAGGGGTGATCATCACAGAATGGGCAGCAGCAGACACCCTCTGTGCACATTCAAGAGCATGAGAGAGGGAACAGCAGCAAACTGAAAGGGAGAAAAGACACAGTAAACACCAATTTAGGATGCAAACACAGGGCAGTGGGATGGAGCAGTGAAATTTGAGGTAGAGGAGCCCAAAGGAAGAGACAACAGAAAAACTCTCCATAGATGCGAGCCTTGCTTCAGGAAATACACAGCTAATGCCACTCAACTCTCTTCTCACCAGGTATTCTTGACACACTGGTCAATCTTCTCTCTACACTTGGTTTTCAGAAACCAAAACATCAAGATCAGGATTTTGTTTTATTCCCTAWCATGCACTAAATGATTCTGAGTGTTCAGCACAACCCTCTAAATGGCCCCTGGTCTAAGCAATGCTGAAGACTCACCTAAAAGCAGAAATACACAAATTACAAACTACTTTTGAACATCTACTACTTCCCTTGGGCTAGGAAAGACTATCCAGAAGGCTGAATTGTCCAGAAGCAGGTTTGGCATTTCTCACTGAGAGTATTTTACTAACTAAGAACGATCTTGAGCAGTTCCTCAGCAAATCCCAAGCTCAGATGGAGGTGTCAGCTTTCTGGATAGATGAATACAATCAGACATCCTCTAACAGAACACATTTGTGCCATTTCCAGCAAGGACAAGCTCTGAAACTCCAGCAGAGCTGTGAGCTGAAGCCCTTTGACTATGGTGCAGATCACACCAGCAGAAAATCCTTTCTTTTACCCATTTCATGGTAGCAGAATGAATGGCTCCTGGGCAAAGCAAAGCCTGGGTTTCCTGTCAGGGTGTCTGTCAGGGCTGTGCWGCCCCACAGAGCACAGGAACACAGTGGGGTGAGAACCAGCAGGGCCACAATGAACTGGAGAGAGCGGCCTCAGGGCAGGTGGAAGCACATGGACATCTAAAATGAAAGAACAGGACAGAGCAGCCAAGGTCACCCACGTGCTYGGGCAAGCTTAAGGCAACTAAAGAAAGTTCAGTGACAATTTAGAGGAGAGTGCCAAAGAGAAGAGAAGAGGAAGCAGAGGCTGGGGATGCTGCAAACAGCAGCCAAAGCCCAGCACCAGCTACCAAGCCATTCCTCTTCTTCAGCTCATTTGCTCCAATTCTCCTCATTTTACCAGCACCATCAGCACGAGGTCAATATGTCAGAAAGAAGAGCTGGGGGTAGGTTCCTAAAAACGCAGCTCACACATTTTCAGGCTTGTGTCTCAGGTCAGTTCTTCAGAAAGAAAGTGTGTGGGCCATTGGAGYGGCCTCCTGCTTTAGGAACTGGGAATTGTGCCTGCCATCTCCAGGGACAATCCTGGCATCTGTTCTACCTGGAAGCRATGGCAGCAGCTGCCCAGATTCCTTTTCATGACAGTTGAGTGTACAGTAGTTTTTTAAAAAACAGCATGCACCGGTGGCATGGCCATCAGAYGTGAAGCCATGATTGAATTCCTCTCGTCTCCTCAGGACCAGGTGAACCCAGAGGACAGGGAGGGCTGGCACAAATCAGCGCAGGCTCCTGTAGACATAGGCTGATGTGAAGACAGCATTGAGAGTCAGACTCACAGCCAGCAGGCCCCGCAGAGCAGAGCTACCAAAGCGACCTGGGTAGGACAGGAGAATACAGAGAACAAAAGCAGAAAGAGATATTAAAGAACTGAGGAGATAATAAAAGTGAACATATGCTGTACTGCTTCTCTTGGCCCAGTGTTTTCATCACAAGCAGGAATYGCTGAAGCATTTTCCCTGTCAGGGAAGATTCCACTGCTCTCTTTTGGCTCTATTTTTATCTCATCTCATGCTCCTGACACCTGCATCCCCACCCCTCTTCTTCTGCCTCAGTTTAGCACTTTGTCAGCATTCTTCAGACAGTAAAGAACAGGAACAGCTTTGTTAAGATCTTAGAATAGCAGGCAGAAGATCCATTTTGCTACTACTGATTTATTTGATTTCCAGGAAGGATCTCAGAAATGCTCACACATGCATGAAGCACTGATATAACTTGCACTCACCCCTCCAGCCTGCCAAATCTTCCCCTTTGGTAGTTGTGTCCACCACACAGGTAGACGAGTGTGACGAGCGATCCTCCTTTTTGATGGAATTATCACTGCAGATACTCCCTCCTTCCACAGCAGATCTCATATCTGCAAGGAGAAGACAGAAAAGTTCACCAGCTGTGTTTGTGCTGGCAGTTTCCATCCCCTGTGGCCGGGATGCTGCAGGGCTGGGTCCAGCCCAGCTCCTCCCCATGACTGGCACGTACCGGGCACTGCCCGCTCCAGCAGGCTCTTGCTCCGCAGACCGGCCAGCTCAGCACCAAAGGTGTTGCTGTCAGAGTGGGTGTGCTCCTCGGAGCCCGTGGGGGTGAGCAGGGCCTCGCTCTGCGAGGGGAACAGCAGCAGTTTCTGGCCCTGCAGGTTGAGGCGGGCAGGGCTGATGAGCGGCCGGCGGAAGCGCAGGGACCCCGAGCTGGAGGTGACGGAACCGGCGACCGACGGTGCTGGGGACGGGATACGGGAGGGGACCCCGCTGCAGGACAGCAGGGAGAAGGGCTCTGCAAGGAAAACCCAGAGAAAACCACCGGCTTATCATCCCAACACAACAGGCACCGTTTGCTTTAACAATTCCACAAGAAAAGGAACGGGGGTTGCAAATATCCACCAAGGTATCTTGTACCAAAATTCTCTCTTTGTACACTCGGGAATGACTCAGGAATTACCAGGAGCCTGGTGAGCTTCCCCTTTGCTGAGCTGTGTCCATCCTGCTCAGCCTGCACAGCACATTGTGCAGTGAATGAATTGTACTGGCACATCCATCAGAGGCTGCTGGAGAGTGGATTGGGGCACAGGAGCTTTGCCCCGGGCCAGGCTGTGCCCACCTTTGCAGCAGCACAGGCCAAGGACCCACCCGGGCCACAAGGGCAACAGACAGGTCATGGAGAACACTGGAACAGCCACTGCAGCCAAATGTCCAGCTCGTGCACTTTGCTGGGAAAGCCCTACAACAGCCAAATCTCTTTTCCAAGCAGGCTCAACTCTAATCGGCAATGGGCCCCTTGTTCTGTCTCACTGACGTCACCGCGAGCTTTCACAGGGAGAACACCCACCATACACAGCACCTGATTTTAATGCAATCCCCCTTTCAGCTGGGACCCTCCCTGCAGCATTTCTAACAGCAAAATGGACATTTTCACTGGAATGTGAGCAGGGAGGAAAGAATTCAASCAGAGCATGTGTTTGAACCCAGGCAGTGTAAACCCTGCAGAGGCAGCAGTACCTGATGGAGGAGATTCCTTGCACTGCGATGACTGCGATGCTGGGCGGCTGCCACTGAACAAGTAGCCAGAATCTGCAAGCAAAACCAAAACATTTGAACGCAGCTGGCCCTGCCAAAGCCTGAACTCGTGATGCTGGATCCCCCTGATGGAGCAGCCATCCCTCCCAGCCCCATTCCATTCCATTCCTGTGCCACCCTGCACTCACCCGCCCTGGCCAGCGAGGGGATGGTGCCCAGCGACAGCGCCCGGTTCAGACGGCCGGGAAGGGAKGAYGAGGATGTTCTGCGTGGGGACCTGAAGAGCTGCTGGTTGGTCAGGTGCAGGATGCTGGGTGGTGTTGGCACAAACAGAGACGTGGCAGGAGAAGGGAAAGCTGAGCCAGAGCCGCTGGGGAACAGAGCAACCGAGTCCCCRGAGAGGAACCTGCGAAGGACACGCACACAGACACTGAGCAATGAAATCCCTGCAAATGCCTCTCTGCTGTGCTCACATCAACAGCAACTCCTCAGCACAGCAGTGCAAGATGCAGAATGCTGGAGAGTTTATGGGAATGTTCCTACACTCCTCACTTGAWTCATTGTGCACCAGCCCATCCCACAACACAGGGTGGAAAAGAGGGTGGAACAGTTTAGGAGCTCCAGTGCAAACACCTTGGATGAGAGACCACCAGAATGCTTTACCAAGTCCAGATGTTGAAAATACAGGAATTTAGTGTTATYTTTAACAATTGAATGGAAACACATGAAGTCTATAATAGGAACCAGATCTCTGAATGATCTGTAAGATGTTTGTTTAGTTAGAAAAGGTAATACAACTGTCAAATMAATTATGATGAAGAATTAACTGGGTATGAAGTGCGTATTTTTAAACAGAGATATCTGACTTTGCAGATAGATTTAGCTGCAATATTTAGAGGCTTAATCTCCCTTCTGATGGAAACAGAGACAGATGAGAGCAGCACTATGGTTACATGGAAAGCCAGGAGTAAATCAGAGCATGAAGAAAATCTCAGCCTTGCACTGAGGGGTGATTTATACACGTGTCATTCTCTCCTGGAGATTAAAGAGGTGGTGCAGCAATATTATGCTGTGCTAACTCTAGAGTTAAGATTACAACCTAAAGTATCTTTTATAAACYGTTTATCTGCTAGCTGGAGGCAGCCATCCATGAGGCTGGACACGTGAGCCAGGCAGGAGCTGGTGCAGGCCATGCTCTGACAGCAGCACAAGCTGCCCAACCTCTCCAGGCTGCCAAGGGTGTCTGTCCTGCTCTGTACCCATGGGCAGCCCCACCACACACACACCCGTGTGCCCAGCTCAGCCCTGCAAGAGAAAATGAATGGGAAAGGGAATTGGAAGTGCAGCTCAGGACTGATGTGAATCACAGGAGRAGGAGTGGTACCTACCCCTCACTGTGCCATGGCTGTGGAGGGTCAAATCACAGCATCACCTGTGAGCAAWGGCTCTTTTGGCCTAAATTGGCACTTTCTGTATCTTTGAGCTAAAGGATCCAACTTTACRCAGCTCCTTGCTGCAGCAGAAAACAGCTTCACTGCTTTATTGGCCTTTAGAAACTTTTCATTTAATGGGCTGGAAGATAATTCAGTCATTCATCACTCATAACCACAATCCCTCTCACACTCCTGGCATTGTTTCACATCAGCCTTCCAATGGTTCTGGTGCTCAACAGCCCAAATTCTCAACCTCACCAAGGCAGTGCAGCCAGATCCTCAGGGCACTGAAGAATCTTTTGTCATCCAGAAAAGGAATTTTTTCAGATTARCAAGGAGGAGATGAAGAATTTTAAGTATAGATGATTATAGCCTTAGGATTGAATGCTGACCAAAGTATGTATTAAACACTGATCTGTTCTGAACAAATTCCTGCAAAGTGTGCAAAATCCCATTCCTGTTCTCTGCTCTCTTTAGTGTTTGCACTGCCATGTCAGGGGAGCTCCAGGCTGCTAAAAGCTCTCGTGGGAATGTGCTTCATGCCTGAGAATGGGCAATGAACTAAAACTTCTTCCAGAAACAGATAAAAAAGGTGAGGAGAGCAAGAGGACCGTAAKGCAGGAAGCAGCCACATCACAGCCCTGGGATGGAGCACTGCAGCTGTGTCTGCTCTCACACCAGGCACTGCTCCAAGCCTTTTGTGCATGTGAGCCTGGGAACAGTGAAMAAAAATAACATAARAAAAGAAGAAGGGGAAAAAAAGGCTCTGGAGTCAGACAGTTTGTGGAAATAGTCAAGGCCCGGAAGCCGTTTATTTCAGAACTTGATATTGTGAACATCAAAAATTGGGTATCTTAATTAGTGTTTACAATGATCACAATGTTACTAGACAGCTGGGCACAAGTGCTACACAGATACTTTAAAAATAAATAAATAGAAGGTTAAAGAAGAGTATCACATGGTTTGGGACTGTACACGGTCCTGAAGAAACACCTCCTGCCAGGAGAGCAGCTCCCTCCTATCCAGACACCACCACACGTGTGTGCCTTTTTAATTCACATTTAACCAGAGATGCTGCAGATCCTGGGACAGAGAGAGGCACRGGAGAGCTGGGGCACGTCAGGCTGCACATGGACCCACTGGCAGCTAATGCAGCCCATAAGTGAGAGGGTAAAATGCAGTCACAGCTTGGGGGATGTGCCCAGCTTCATCTGCCCAGGACACTCGGGGCTGAAATGTTTGCTCAG